GTAAATTAAGTGTATTTAATATCGATTTTCTTAAATACGGGATTTATTAAATTGTACTCGCGGATTCTCATTTATGTCACGTAACTAGTAATTTTACCAGTCATATTTAAATATTTGATATTACATTTGGAGTGAGTGGCAACAGTAATTGTACGATAACGACATTTGATTTATCCACTTTCCGTGGAGTCCTGACACAACGAGCCCATTTTGAATTTCTATCCTGTAAATTTTAAGAGGTGTGTAAAGGTCTGTATTCATCTGAATGCGCAACGCAGAAATTGCCCTTTGTGATTTGGTCAATTTATTACCTAGTATTTTATGGTAATTATTAAGTTATTAAAGTTTGCCGACTAATGAGGCATAACGGGCGATTGCGGACCTTCAATTGGAATGACCTCGAAGCCGATTATTATTTACTCCTTTTCCAACAGTTTATTGAGCCTAAACTCTAATAAATATTACATGAAAATTTCGTGTAACAGTAAACTTAAATTCAACAGTAAATAAATATAAAAACTTTATTTGGATGATGGAGGCCTATTGCAGACGGAATGCTTGATGAATAAAGTTAAATTTAAAATACAAAAATAGAGACTAAGACTCAATCTACTTTCACCAAACAAACAAACAAACAAACAAATAAACAAACAAATCAGCAAAAAGCGAAGATAAAAATTAAAAATGAAAAACGAGAGCCAAGCTCTAGTATGATGTATTATTTATCTAATGGTATATATATATTTATTTATATTTGGGTTGTAGTCGCAGTAAGGAGATATTGTGTGGTTTTTAACGGTTGTAGGAGGTCCTTTTCTTTCAGAGTTCACTAAATTAAATGTCGTTTGGGTTGCGGTTATTTTTGTTGCTCTATCCAAATAAATATCATTATTGTTTGTTATAAATTGTAAATATTTTATACGTGTAACTCACTCCCATAATCCCTCATTTTGGAAGGTTTTATGAGCGATACTAATAAAAAAATAAACGGGAGCCTTCCGGGTTTTTGACCTGAGTTCAAACGTAACTTAGTGCCTTTTATTTACTGTATTATTATTTCCCTTTTTAATACTTTCCCCATGAAAACAACACCTCACAAGTACCTTGGGTTACTAAATTAATGAGCTTTATTACCGTAAGTATTTATTTGATTTATTTGTCGTAATTTAATATAACATTTGCCGTGGTGTTATATTTCATTTATCACTTGGGGTGTAACTTTTACAGATTCTTTGCTGGGGGGGGTGTGAACGCTTACAGATTGGTGCCGTGACCAGGATAACCAGGATAATTTAAAGAAAAATTAAATTTAATTTTTTTTGACGTTTTGAGTTTCTTAATTTTGTATGCTTGTTGAATGAATCTGCCAACGAATGTGGGGGCGCCTGAAGTGTGTATGTTTGACCACGAACTAGAACAATATTGACATTACTGACTAGTAGGACCTGACTTTGTTAAGAAACTCATTACGTACTTGTTTTGTAAAACTGTTAAAGGATTATTTATTTTAAATTTCACTAAAAAGTACTGCTTTGGCGGTACAGATTGTTGCTTGTGCAAGGGATGAGGTTCGTAAAGTTGTATTCATGGAGAGACACATTTTATTATGATTTTTTTTTATGTTTTTGTTTTGTTTTGTTTTCTGTTTTTTTTTTTGTTTTTTTTGAGGAGCTGCTTTGTCTGGTATGCATATCGAGATGGATCACTATTGGACAGCCAAAAATTTTGAAGTAGTACAACGTCACCGGGAAAGCATCAAGTATGGAGGCCGTTCATTCATGGGAGATGTAGACATGACACACTTAGAGTTGAGAAAATACCGCCCATTACAGTACAACGTCTTGGAATCAAGGCACACGCAGCCCAAAACTTAGCCCTGAATGTTGGTAGTAAAAATGACCCTAATGATTCTGGAGAGGCATCGTCAGCTATGGAGGGACAACCGCACACCAATGGTCCAACGCCAGAAGTAATTATGCAGAGTTCTGGAATGCGAAATTTCAACTCATTGGATCCGGAGCAGATACAACTAATCATCGAGTCGGTTAACACGCAAGTATTTACACAGGTTTCACAAAAACTACTCAAATCCCAAAGCCTGCTTCTCAGACTTAATCACCGGTTAAAGTAACAAATTTTGTTGAAAATCAAGTACAATTAAAAACGCCTGACATTTTGCTTTTTAAAATCCTTTACTCAGTAAATATAGTTTGAAAAAAAAAATGTTGTTCATATTACAACGCAAGAGGGAATCAAACTGATATTTGACAAAACGTACAACCCGTGACACAAATTGGGGAATTTAAATAATACTGAAACGCACTTCACGCGTTCAGCGATTTTGTACGATTGTGCAATGAAATTTTGTCAAAATTTTATGAATTTTGTAAAATATAATGTTTTCTTGAAATACGGTAGAATTTTTGTAAAATACGGTTGCACGGTATATTAAGGGAAAACGGTAGACCTACAGTAAAAACAGTAGACCTGTTAACGCTGCATCTCACACACAAAACACTTTCTTAATACCAATTAAAAAGGGGGGTTAAAAGTGTTACTTTCGGATCTGCACCAAGCTGGTTCCTTATCAACACTTTGGGGGCGTCTGAGGAGATCTGCAAATACCCCCCCTAATAAACAATCCGTGGGTTATTACGATCCTAATTGTTTAAAATAAATGCATTCAAAAAGCCCTGTAAATAAAACTAACATTTAAATTTAGCGCAACGGAAATACAAGTGACATATAAAAGGTAGCGTGCCATTGGTTAGAAAAACTCTCCTGATTAAGTGGGAAAAGGTAGGGGAAAATAATGCTAGACGCAAGTGACGGGCAGGGGAGAACATTCATTCGAGCATTGAAGCAGAGCCGAGCAGCGACCAGGGTTATAAAAATTGTGTGTGCAGAAAAGTGTTGGAATTTGTAGGTTGGTACATTTTAAATAACTAAATTATTGTAGTATAAATATTCCCGAGCATTTTGGTATAATTAGTTTACACAAACACCTTGTGTAAAGATAAATAATCGATCAATTGACTTGGCGTCATCGTTCGATCTATTACGCTGTAATGGCTGTCGTTTTAGAAACCACGCTGTAAAATTTAAGTTTAAAACTTGGTATTTCGTATTATAATTTATATTCTAAGTTATAAACAAATGGTACGTGTATTTTATCTAATAAAAGGCAGGGATTTTTAACGAGTAATTAACAAATTAAAAGAGCAGGAATTTTACGTGGATTTCATTCAATTAAAATAGGCAGGACCGTATTCGATTTAATTAAGCTAAATGTCAGGACGGTACTCGGGTTTATTTAATTAATTTTAATAAATATTTCACAAAAGGGGATTTTCCATAAACGCTGTGTAAATTAAGTGTATTTAATATCGATTTTCTTAAATACGGGATTTATTAAATTGTACTCGCGGATTCTCATTTATGTCACGTAACTAGTAATTTTACCAGTCATATTTAAATATTTGATATTACATTTGGAGTGAGTGGCAACAGTAATTGTACGATAACGACATTTGATTTATCCACTTTCCGTGGAGTCCTGACACAACGAGCCCATTTTGAATTTCTATCCTGTAAATTTTAAGAGGTGTGTAAAGGTCTGTATTCATCTGAATGCGCAACGCAGAAATTGCCCTTTGTGATTTGGTCAATTTATTACCTAGTATTTTATGGTAATTATTAAGTTATTAAAGTTTGCCGACTAATGAGGCATAACGGGCGATTGCGGACCTTCAATTGGAATGACCTCGAAGCCGATTATTATTTACTCCTTTTCCAACAGTTTATTGAGCCTGAACTCTAATAAATATTACATGAAAATTTCGTGTAACAGTAAACTTAAATTCAACAGTAAATAAATATAAAAACTTTATTTGGATGATGGAGGCCTATTGCAGACGGAATGCTTGATGAATAAAGTTAAATTTAAAATACAAAAATAGAGACTAAGACTCAATCTACTTTCACCAAACAAACAAACAAACAAACAAATAAACAAACAAATCAGCAAAAAGCGAAGATAAAAATTAAAAATGAAAAACGAGAGCCAAGCTCTAGTATGATGTATTATTTATCTAATGGTATATATATATTTATTTATATTTGGGTTGTAGTCGCAGTAAGGAGATATTGTGTGGTTTTTAACGGTTGTAGGAGGTCCTTTTCTTTCAGAGTTCACTAAATTAAATGTCGTTTGGGTTGCGGTTATTTTTGTTGCTCTATCCAAATAAATATCATTATTGTTTGTTATAAATTGTAAATATTTTATACGTGTAACTCACTCCCATAATCCCTCATTTTGGAAGGTTTTATGAGCGATACTAATAAAAAAATAAACGGGAGCCTTCCGGGTTTTTGACCTGAGTTCAAACGTAACTTAGTGCCTTTTATTTACTGTATTATTATTTCCCTTTTTAATACTTTCCCCATGAAAACAACACCTCACAAGTACCTTGGGTTACTAAATTAATGAGCTTTATTACCGTAAGTATTTATTTGATTTATTTGTCGTAATTTAATATAACATTTGCCGTGGTGTTATATTTCATTTATCACTTGGGGTGTAACTTTTACAGATTCTTTGCTGGGGGGGGTGTGAACGCTTACAATATTTTTGTCACTTTTTTGACCTAACCATTTGAATCTTTGTGTTAAATTCCGAGAAAACTATGAGGTTCGCTCCATTAAACGAAAAATAAATCAGAATTTATAAAACAATACAACAACAACTTTGTTTAAAAAATTTTAAAAGATCATTTTTATTTTTGGTACTGAAAAATTTTATAGAATTTGAGTTTGTATTTTTCTTTTAAAAAATAAAAAAATATAAAAATTGCGTGGCATACATTTTAATTTAGGAATGGTTAGTTTTAAAGTAAGTTTAATATAAAAATTACTTAATTAGTATTTTTACTTATTTACGTATTTTTTTCATAGTAATATTTCTTAATGTAGGTATGTTAAAACGGTTAAAAATCATAAACTCATTTATTCATCCAATAATCCAAAAGATTTGCCATAGAAAAACAAGCAGTCTGTTTATGCAAAAACTCCATCAAAGGTCCATTTTGATTAATATCGAAACTGTAAGAACTGAACACAAAACAACTATATTTTGCAGACTCCTTTAAATATCTCTTGACCATTGTATTGGTCACTGTTAAAGGCCCTATTTCCTTATGAACGTCCTTTAATTTAGCAGCCAAAATTCCAGTAACAAAAACGTCATCAATCCAAAAATACTTTACAGCTGTATTCTGCGATTGCCGATAGAGATATTGCACAATATCCATGGAGTATATTATCCGCCATCCGGGGCAGTAAGTAGGATACACATTTGAAGAAAATTCTTCTGGTGATACTCTCCATTTTGATTCCGTTTCTCTAAACACAGGTGCATTTTTTTTCACATTTGCCATAATTAAATTGTGGGTGTAATTTGGACTAAGATCGTTTTGGATGAAATTTGTTAGCTGTGGCATATTCACGAAAACATCATCATCAATTTTTAGTAAATACATTGCATTTGAACAGTAGTCATTTACGTACTTCAACATCATAACGTGTTTGTAGGTTAGATTTCTGTAGGTGTCTAAAAAACTTCCTTGAATTATATCCGAGTACTTTCCATTTTCAACGTAAATTTGATTTTGTATTTGTTTGTCTTGTACACTTCCCAGTGCAAATAATATGGGCGAAAGCTGATTTTTGCCCCATGTGTTTCTAATTGCTTCTCGCTTCTTAAAATTCACTGCAGAACTAGATACAAAAATCACAAACTCCGGATGATCATCCTCGCACGCCAGATTAAATATGTTGTAATAAAAATCAATGTTTATCAATTTGCTGCTAACATTCTTCAAATAGTATTTTCGATGTGCTGACACACACTTATTATGAAAATCAAGCCTATGCCAATATATTATTATAAACACAATATTAATAAACACAATATTAACGAACAATACAATAAATTTATTTACTATTTTCATTATACAGGGTGGTGCGTTTGGATTTGACGTATTTCAAATGGCTTTCCAATTGTCAATTTATAAATAAGAGAGTAAAGGCAAATATACACTATTTAATTTGGTTGAACAATTTGTTGATTCAACGAAAGTAAACAGTGTATTTTTCCATTTCATAAAAGTGTTAAACAAAACAAAAAAAGTAGAGCAAATTTCTACTTTTTGTTCAACTGATTAATAACTATATACGTTCGTGTTGAACATTTATTGTGATTTTGTGTGACATTAATCCATTCCAATCCATTAATACGATAATTTGGACCCCCCTTGGTGAGATTTGGTAGACCACCTTAGGCTATCCCTCACATGAGATTCTATCAATGAAACTTTGTTTGCGGACAACACGATAAACCCCAAAAAATTTATTAATATTTTTGTTTAACAAAATTGAATTATAATACATATTCAAAACTCAAAAGTTGACGTGAGATTTTTAATGACCCCCCTCACTTAAAATGAGGTTCGGTGAGATTATGCTAGACCCCTTCCCCCATTTTTGTCTCACGTAATTAATGGATGTCCCCTAAGTATTATTAATTATAATAAAAGTAATTGATGTCCTTTTTTGATTTGACCAACATCGACGTCTTTTCCCTTTTTTTAACAAGTACCATCAATTTTTATTATACATTTAAAACGTGTATTTCACCTGATTTAATTTGGTTGGTTTTCATGTTTTGCCAAAGTATCCAATTCAGTACGTATATTTGCTGGTGTAGAATTATCTTATGATAACTCTACCCAATATTATTAATATTTAAATTGACATTTTTAATAAATCTTACATAATATAATAATTATACTAACATTACCTTAAAATCAAACATTTCAATATTTGACTCCTCCAAAAAAACGCCAACTGCATTTTGAAATATTAAATGACAAAATATATATACGAATTCAAGACAACTTAATATTATATATATTACATAATATAATACCCGTTTTTAGTCTTTTACCGTTAAGTGAAGATTTTTTTAATTTTAATAATTCATAATGCTGGTTGCATTCTGATGACTTATTTGTTTTATGATTTTTACTGAATTTAAATGTTTACAATTTTTACGTAAATAATTAATAAAATGTGTATTTATTGTAACTAAGGTACAATTGATTTTTACAGGGACTGTATTTATTCATTTGGATTTCCACTGTTTATGGGAAAATCGGTAAAAACTCAACCCCGGATTTCCTCTCCAAAAACACCCAACAACAGAACAAATCGTTCCACAGATTTTTTATCGATATTTTTAACATTTTTCAACCTTATTCCCAACATACGAACAACAGAACAAATCGTTCCACAGATTTTTTATCGATATTTTTAACATTTTTCAACCTTATTCCCAACATACGGATGTAGTTTTGTTAAGATGATGATGGCGCCAATAGCAATACTTCGTTAGCGTTTAGGTTGCAATTCTATTTTATTAATCTACGGGAAGTATATTAGTAATAAATAAATATTAAATAAAAATTTAATTTATTTATTTATCCAACTTAACTGATTTGCAACAGAGAAACAAGGAGTTTCATTACGCAAAAACTCCATCAAAGGTCCATTTTGACTAACATCGAAATTAAATGGACCGAAGACAAAGCAACTATATTTTGCAGAACCATTTAAATATTCTTTCACCGTTGCATTTGTCACTGATAAAGGTTCTATGTCCTTATGAACGTCTTTCAATTTAGCAGCCAAAATCCCACTAACAAAAACATCATCGACCCAAAAATATTTAACAGCTTTATTCTGCGATTGTCTATAGAGGTACTGCACAATATCCATGGAGTATATTATCCGCCATCCGGGGCAGTACGTAGGATACACGTTTGGTAAAAATTCTTCTGGTAACACTCTCCATTTTGATTTTTTTCTAACAACAGGTCTATCCATATAAACATCTCCCATTATTAAATTGTGGGTGTTATTTGGGATTAGATCATTCTTAATAAAGTTTGTTAACTGTGGCATATTAATAAACAAATCATCGTCCATTTTTAGTAAAAACATTGAATCTGAACAGTGGTCATTAACGTACTTTAGCATCATAACTTGTTTGTAGCTCAGATTTTTGTAGGTGTCCACGAAGCTCCCCTGAATTATGTCCGAGTACTTATCATTTTCAGCGTTGATTTGACTTTGTATTGTCTCGTTTTGTACACTTCCCAGAGCAAATAATATGGGTAAAGGCTGCTTTTTACCCCATGTCCTTCTAATTGTTTCTCTCTTCTTAAAATTCACTGTGGAACTCGATATAAAAATCACAAACTCTGGATGGTCGTCTTTGCATGCCATATTAAATATGTTGTAATGAAAATCAATGTTTATCAATTTGTTGCTAACATTCTTCATGGAGGATTTTAGATGTGCCAAGGTTGAATACATACACATATTATTGCTTGTACTATTTAAAAAATTAAGCCCATACCAGCATACTATTATAAACACTATATTAATAAAAACAATATTAATGAAAAACACGATACATTTTTTAACTATTTTCATTAGACAGGGTGGTGCGCATAGATGACTGACGTATTTCATTGTCAATTTATAAATAAAACAGTGAGCAAGTAGTGCTCTCTCTTATTTACACCACTTACCTCTCTTTTACATTTTTTGAAATATAACGTAGAATTAGAAGAAGGTTAAATATCTGTCACTGACGGTAGCATTAAGGTTAGTTGTCCGTCACTTACAGTCAAATTAAGGTTAGGTATTAGTGACAGTAGAATTGAGGTTAGGTGCCTAACCTTTCATATTTATCACATTAACAACAAAATTCTCAATTGAGGAGCATGCGCGCAAAACCAGCTATATCCATTTTAATAAAATGTTGTGAAAATGACAAAAACTCCCATTTCCTGGCATTTACAGATAAAAAATGCATCTCAAGTTTTGTGCCCAAACAAATGCACCTTGAGTTTTGTGCCCACAAAACTCAAGATGCATTTTTTTATCTGTAAAGGCCAGGAAACGGAGGTTTTTGCCATTTTCACAACATTTTATAAAATGGATATAGGTGGTTTTGAGCGCATGCTCCTCAATTGTAGAGCCATTTGAAATAAGTCAGATCCAATCGTGCCACCCTTTAAATTTTTGATAACCATAGTTATATGTAAACAGTTTTTTATTATTATTTTATTTTAGTACTTTACATTAAAATTTGGTTTTATTTGTTTATAAATTGAGGAGGTGGATTCCAAAACTCGGCTTATCCACAGACCACACAGGTCTGTGGGCTTATCCATATAAGGTGTTTTTGAGCAAAATGTCAAAAACCTTACACGTGAGTACTGACGCATATCAGGCCAACTGAATACTTTAAACGAAATATATAGGCATAAGTATAAAATTTTTATAGGACCTTGATTAAAAAGGTGAAACAATTTAAAATTACATATGTATAAGCCAGTTCTGACATGCTATAACCTATAGATAAGGCAAGTTTTGGAACAATAGTCAATTTGTAAATGAATTTTAAATGTAATAAGGTGAGTTTTAGAATATTATGACCTTTTCAGGGTATAAGGGGCTTAATGTTAAATGTACAGACACCACTAACTCAAATTTTTAAAAAGTGTATAAAACTAGTTTTGGAATGGACCTCCACAGTTAATATTTATAATAAAACAGTTTTATACTTTAATCTTATACTACCACAACGATAGCCAAAAGGTTTTTATTATAGATATATACAGGGTTTTTGTTTGGTTTCTAAAACCTTTAATAATATATTTTTTTCTTCATTAAAAAAGTTTAGAGAAATTCAGTCAGGTTCCAGCACTTGACAAGGCAAGACGCATTGTAGCAGCGAGAGCTCTTAAAACGTAAAAGTTTAAAGTTTAAAACCAACACTAATTTCTTAAAAGTGCAAACTAAAATAGTGTAACGGTCAATAAAGAGTGTAGTGTTAAGTGATAAGAAAGAGTTAAGTGACTAGTTTCAGCTTCGTCCTACCACTTGTCATTGGACGCTTTTCTCTAGACAAACAAAAGAGGTCAAACAAGAGGGGAAGTGGCCATTCGCAAAAATTGATAAGTATCCTCAAGCATATGCATGACCTAACACATAATTTGCAAATTTAAACACGATAGATACTTTTAAAAAGTAGGGAAAAAGAAATTTTTGTAAATTTACAGCTCTACAAAAAAGCTCGCTTACATTTTTTGTAATTATTTGAGATTTATACTGTATTTTGAAGTAATAAATAAATGATTAATACCATTATTCAGATTAAATTTCCAATTATATATATACATAACTGGTCATTGGTGAAGGTATCAGACAAATAGGTGTCGGACGGACTTACCATTCCTCTTATGTAACATTTCTTCGCACGCTGCTGGCGAACGATATCAATGCAAGATTTACAGCAGATACGCTTCGAACAGCTAACCTACCTCTTCACTCTAAATACGTTGTACCGTGTTGTTTGCTTACTCAGATATATACACCGTGTGTATGAACTATAGTGCGGGTCCGTCTATTTATTATGTAGTTCATTTTTTTTTGTTATTCCGATGAACAACTAATGTGTTAGTGATCAGTTAGTTCAACTGTGGTTTAGTTTTTACCTGTTGGATTATATTTTTTAAGTAAGTAATTTTTACAGTAAAAAATTATAGTGATAAAATGTTATTTGTGAAATTTAGGAAAAAATGTATTTTTTTATGAACTACAGGTTTGATAACCAGACTTCCAAACAAATAAAATGTTTAATGATTTTTCATAAAATTAAACAAAATTAACTTACTACCCCAAAAATTTCCTATTCCTTAATTGGCGATATAATCTTTGTTTTCTCAACGAATATAAATGCTAATTTTAGCATTTCGTATCTCGATTTTTATACTTTTATACTATTAAATTAAGGAAAAATGTATGCGGTATTATTTTTGTTAAATTAAGTCCAATATAAACAAAAAAATGTTAAAGACTTTTTTTTTTAAACCAAGTATTTATTCCAGATGTCCATATTTATAAATGAATATTTTTCAGAAAATGACTTTAAAAAATATACAGGGTGGTCCAGTTTATATCAACAGAATTCCACGAGCCGATAGTTCAAAAAATATTTTTTTAACATTTTTATATAGGTACATTTCTTTTTTTAAGAAATACCTAAATATCTGTACTTTAGGGCCTACCTTTTTTCAAGGGTCAAAGCTCACAAAAAAAGTTTTTCTTGCTTATCTCATAAACTTAAATTTTTGTTTTCTATATAAATCTTTATAAAAACGATATACAAATTTTACGTAGGGATAATTGCTCTCAAGATATAATAAAGCTGAGAAAAGTAAAAGCAAGGCGCATATATTACTGTCTAAAAATGAATTAGTCAAAAATGACTAATTTAATAGTTATTATTGGCTGCTTTTTCACTTGTACCATGGTTAACCAATTCTTATGTAAAATTGTCTCCTGAATCCGAAAATACCGTCAAAAATTATGAAAGTGAAGCAGTTTTTGAGTAATAGTCAATTCCATATTATATGGAAAACTGACTCTATCTCAAAAACTATTCTGCTTTTTTAACTTGAGACATTTTCGGATTCAGGGGACAATTGAGAGAATTGGCTGTTAAATTTTGGGATACCATGGTATTCGATGGTTAACCATGGTACAAGTGAAAAAGCAGCCACTAATAACTATTAAATTAGTTATTTTTGACTAATTAATTTTTAGAGAGTACATATCAGGGTATGTCACAATTCTATTAAAAAATGTAAGAGATGATTCTAGAGCGCAAAATATGAAAAATTAAGAACATAAGGCCCCTTTGAAGATGGCTCTCAATATTTACATTTTATTCTTTATCTTAGGTGTACCTTAGAATAATACTGGGACACACACTAAAGTTTATAAATGCAAATTTTATGCTGCACACCCAATACTGATATATTATTAGAGGTACCAAACAATACTGATATATTATTAGGGGTACCAAATTTTATTTTTTAAGTTGAGTACGTTATTGGGTATTTTGGTTCCATTTAATATTACACAATCTTGTTGTTTAAAAGGTCTAAAACTAACCGGTTTTTTTAAATATATATATTTTTTAATTTAAACAAACCAATCTGTGATTTCTGGTGTATAACAAATATTTGTATAATCACATAAAAAATTAATATTCAATAACTTAATATATTTCTAAAATAACGCTAGACCAACTGTTACAGTACATGTATACATTTTTCTTATATCATATACCTAATAATTATAAAAATGTATTGAAAGTTTTTTAAATTTAAACTAATACATTTATTAATTATCACTGGCCACTACTTCCTGTAGCCAATTTATTAATAAACAATTAGCACTTCCCTCTTATACAGTGTGCATTTTAAAAGTTCCCCCTCCTGTTATCTTTTGAACGAAAAAATGTACTGACATTGGACAAGAACCATTGTCAAGGATATTATTTATACAACTTTTTTTGATTAAACTGTTAGGTGCTTATTTAAGAAACGCCAAGAGGGCAGTATTAACTTCAAAATTTCAAAGTGAAAGGGGGCTGTGATACCCCATTTAATTTTTTTTAAATTGTTTAACGGTTGCTCGTTATTGACCATTTGAGTTTTACAAACTAATAAGTTTTCTTGCCGCCCTAGGCAGCTACCTACGTTGCCGGTTCCATATCTATATCACCATTTAATTTTGTTTTGACACTTTTTTGGTTTTGTATTGTTTTTCTTTTTTATGACAAAAATGTACCTGTGTAGTTTTAAGGCGGTTTATAAAATAATTGTAATTGTGTTTAGTGTAACATTATTTATGAGTTGTGCCTGCAATTTTACTTTTTATTTCAATGGAAAATGGTTCACACTCGCCCGTTGGAAAAAATATAAAAGTAATTTTATTTAAGTTTACACGTGAATGTATTACACAAGAAACTTGTCCAAGAAAATGTCCAAGGGGAGCAATCTCGAAGATTTAATTTGTTGACTGGTTGAAAATTTATTGTACTTAATAAATGAAAACCTCGTACTTAATAAATGAAAACAAAAATTTGATTGGAATATTTGATAAATTTAATTTAAACGTTTAATATCTTAGCAACCATCAACCAGATTTAAGGTTTTAGATTTGCGTTGCATGGAGAATCGAAATACCTTTCAAATAAGATATCACAAGCCCCCCTTTCCATTTGAAACTTTTAGTTGATGCTGCCCTCTTGGCACTCTTTAAATAAGCACCTATCAATTTGACGTAAAAAAGTAGAATACTTAATATCCTTGACAATGGTTTTTGTCCGATGTCTTCGATGACTTTTAATGTGCTCGTTGCATAACATCCTCTAGATACCTTAAATGATTTAATTGCTACCTATAAGTAACTTAATCTGA